AAGCTGTGACTGGCTGAGTTGGAGTACTTTATTGACTCTGCTCTTTCTACTTAAATTTAGCAATTTAAATTTCAAGTCACTAAATAAAAATTGGTGTTTAATGAATTATCCTCACTGTCTAATGACCACAATGTCATACATAACTTTACTGTCTACAGTTAAAAAAAGGAAGGGAGATTGTCTTGATTCTCATATTGTGCAATGGAAATGTATGATAGATTTGTGAGATTAGTAGCATAGTATTGAAAAAAGCACACATTTTGAAATAAACCATTTTTTTCTTTAGGGTAACTCTAAAATCATTTATGACGCTATAAAAATGTATTATGAAGGTTTACTTCAATCAGCCTACAATGTTGCGCCAAGTGTCTTTTTGCAAGCCGCGCTGTTCATCTTCTACAGTCTGATAAATGTTGTGTTGCTGACTTGGTCTGTTCTTGACGATGCCAAGCTGCCAAGCTGCCAAGCTGCATAATTCTGCTCCGTGAAAAATGTTTTCGGACTATGCTTCTCAATTGTCTTGCTCCAGTCTAAACACCTGTGCTTGGTGTGTTGGCCATTGACAGTGGCCCTCATTAGACCAAGTGTTCATCCTACTAATAAAGGGTGACTAATTAAGGTGGAGATACTGACAATACACTAAACCCTGCATTAACGTTCTGTTCCTTGATCAAACATGCAATATCATTTGTTGATACTATACTATAAATATTAGAGGTAGAAATAAGAGCATTACTCCAGCCCTGAGCTGATGTTACTCTTGGGCTACTCTTCTTAAAGATCTGGCCTGATGAGCAGGTTCCATGTTTATACACGCCTTTTATGTTCATCAAGAGGATTTCTCTTATTTTATCTTCATGCTCAGACTCCTTTATTGAAATAAAACATATTAACAATACAAAACGAGACAATAAATAGTACAACAGTAACACAATAGTAGTTTATTGGTAACAGCATGTCCATTTGTAAACTTTCACTCCTTGCACACATATAGCATACACTATATACAAACACCATTGTAAAACTATCATATTTACATGTACAGATCCAACACAATGAGATAAGACATTTACAAAAGAGGGTGTTGTGAGATACCACAGAACATTTTACAAGTGAATTTATATTTCAAAAAAATGAAGATGCCTTAATAAACATATTTATAGTAAGAAGGAAAAAAAATAATAATCTGTAAGCAAAATGGCAACTATGGACTAAAAGGTAGATCCCCCAATTTAGCGAAAATGTAAAACCCCAGCTTTAGTATAACTACAGCTCACATAACATCCTTTACTGATCTCAAGCTTGCAAAGCGTTACTGGGGTTGTAGTTCTACAAATCTGGGGTACAACTTTTAAGCCATACATGGGCTACTGGATATACAAAATACTGTGAGTAGGCCTCACCTATCCAAATTTATTTTTAATTATATTAAAGTTGAAGTGCCACCTACAGAAAAATTACAGTACATTTTTCCTTCATCCCAGTAAAAAGCTTTTGCAGTGTACACTGGAGTGAATAATGCAGCAGAGGTAAGCAGAAATTTACTTACCTTCTCTGCACATCACCGTTCCATGATGCTTAAAACGCATATCTGCACACTCAGGCATCGGACTGAGAAATGCTACGTGTGTGCTTGCGCTCCTGGCATTTACACTACAAGAGTTAACTAAAAAACATACTTTGCCAAGCTGCCTGGCTACACATGTACAGCAATATAAAATAAACTATAAAGATTGTAAAGTAATTTCAGCCAACCTATAGCTTTTAGTTAGCCAGGTTGTGCTAAATCGAGAAATTTACCGTTTCCTTTTTAAAGGGACACTAAAGTCAGCCAGACAACTTCATCTTAATCAAGTGGTCTGAGTGCAGCGGCTCTGCCCTTTTTACTCAGCAGGGCTGCAGAGTTAAAAGGTGCTTCCATTGTAATAACCGAGTAAAACTTGGTCACGTGACGTGAAAGTTCATAGGAAAGCATTGCACACAATGGGGAAGCTTGGTGCAAGTGCGGCATTTGTCGCACATGTGCATTAGGTCCCCAATACACCTCTATGAGGAGCATTGGATACAAACCAGCACCAGAGGAGTAGAGGTGAGTAGGAAGCAGGTAAGTAAAACTTTGAATATAATAATGTTTTGGAAAATGGGGGGGGGACTACCATAGATAGGTACAGGTACACTATAGCATTAGGAATACACATTTGTATTCCTAATGCTATAGTGTTTCTTTAAGTAATTCTTATACTGTATTAAATAAACAGTAACCATTCATTTTCACAAACTAAACATGACTTGCAGTACACGCAAATTATCAGAAAACTGTGATGAAGAATAGTGCAAGGGTGCAGCATGATGTAAGTCAAATGCTTTTTATTATCACGGCTGTACAATGGTAAGTCTAAAACTAGACAGTAAAAGCATGCAACATGCTGTTCTACCTTATTGCTTATGGAAACACTTTTTTCTCACTCAACGGATCTTACACTACTCCCAAATCCAGCAGATTCTGTACTTAATTACAGTGCAGAGTAAGTATGGGAGTTCAGAAAGCCAACTGCCTCGATTAGAAGTCTCTTTGTTGCCACTGCAGAGATAGTACAGTGGAACAGACAATCAACTACCTTCAACAGAGCTCTCCATGTTGTCCTAACAGTGTATACACATTAGACAGGAATGCCGTCATGCCCAGACCTCTCAATGTGGCCCTGCAGGGTTAGTACTGCAAGTCAGGCAGCCATCTGCCCTGCTCTGGACCTGCTCTAATAGAGGCACGGTGAGATATCTAAGCAGGGCAGTTGGCTGCCTGATCTGCTTTATTAACCCTTCTGCAGCATACAGTTTTGTTGTCAAACAGTTATCGCTTGCTGAAAAGTGTTGAAACAATAGTAAAATAAAAAGTACCATATCAGTCCCACGACGACACCTGGAACATCGTATATCTAAATAACAAAGCAGAATATGAAGTATATCACATAATCTATGGTGATCAGCTATACAGCTAGCCGGAACACACTATTCTTGCCCTCTCTTTTTACACTCAATAGAGAAATGCGGTTTAAATTAAATAAATAGCTGTAAAATACATTTTTTAAATAACACTTAAAAAAAATATATAAATAATTAACAAACAATGGTAGGTTTGCCAAATGTCAATAACTCAAGACTACCTGATCAAATAATGTTTCCTAGAATAAGGAAAATGCTTATTAAACTATTCATGCCTTCACAGAAATTTAAAATGTACTTTTTTTTTCATTTAGCACTAGCGCTATTTAATTTGTCTCCCACGTTAAAATGTATCCTAGGACCCACCGATATTGGGGTACTGTGATGTAGTGGTAGGCTTAACACAATATGGCCATTTGGTGGAACTGAATCCCCATATTTGTTTGGAGAGATAGTTGATTTTAAGAAGCCTTGTAAGATTTAAAGGACCACTATAGTGCCAGGAAAACAAACTCGTTTTCCTGCCTCTACAGGGTCTTTAGGTTCCCCCCCCACCCTCAGGGTCCCACTCCCGCCGGACTGAAGAGGGAGGAAGGGGTTAAACGCTTACCTCTCTCCAGCGCCGGGCTCCCTTGCGCTAGGGACTCTCCTCCTCCTCCCGACGTCATCTGCCGAATGTGCATGCGTGGCAAGAGCTGCACGCGCATTCAATCAGTCCATAGGAAAGTATTTTTCAATGCTTTCCTATGGACGTCAGCATCTTCTCACTATGATTTTCACAGTGAGAAGCGCGGAAGTGACTCTTGCGACTGTCAATGAGACAGTCACTAGAGGCTGGATGAACCCTCAGTGTAAACATAGCAGTTTCTCTGAAACTGCTATGTTTACAGTTGCACGGTTAACCTTAGATGGACCTGGCACTCAGACCACTTCATTGAGCTGAAGTGGTCTGGGTGCCTATAGTGGTCCTTTAAAACTTTATTTTCTTGTGTATGCCATTCCTAAATCTGAAAATTTACATTCCATAACCCTATCAAATAATAAATAGAAGCAGGGTAATAGAAGAAAAGATTCCACGAGAATCAGATCAAAAATTTTGAGTTTTCTCCCAGTCCTACACAATAAAATGTATATTATTTATTCACCTACTGGTAACATGAAAACCCCACAAAAAATCCATTAACCCAATTTGCATTCCAAAAATAATTTTCACCATGAGAGAAAAAAAGTCTCCACCAGACTCCATCCATGCCTATCGGAAATGCCTACTTTAGAAACGAGTCAGTAGCAGATTACAGTACTAAATAAGACTTCCCATGCACTAGAACAACCGCAACAATGGAAGGACAGAAATGGGTTTGACGTTTATAGAAACAATCCCATATTACCCAGTTGATAAATTAATTAAACTGGGCAATAGCCAGCTTTCTGCATTTTTATGAACTTTAGTCTACTGAATAATTGAAATCCAATGAATATTCTATACAGTTATTTCCCTTGTAAGAGTTCAAACACATGGGTTTATTCATTAAACAGTAGATTGAAACGCACTGATAACAGATTTGCCAAAGGTTGGCCAAACAGCCATCAGAAAACACTCAGACTGTGAATTTGTTACTTTGGTCTAAATTTTTGCAATTTGCAAGACAGCTAACCATTTAGTGAATAAACCAAATTAAAACACAAAAATGTAAAACAATGTATGAAATAACATTGTCTGCTTATATATATATATATATGTATCTTTGATCACTGATCTCTACACAGTACAATCCACATTAAATGGAACATTCAGACAGTGTAACTGGTGGTCAATGTATATCTGTAGGAGTTATAGTCCACATATAGCCTTTAAATCACAGTCACAATTTTCTATAACAAACTAGAAACCGATCACAGACAGGAATTTGGAACCGTTTGTACCTCTTTGATGAAGAACAACCTCAGAAAATGGGACTATTTTGGGTATTGTGTTAAGTAGAAAAATGTGCTCACAAATGTGACACTGTACAACACAAACTGTACCCATCATAGTTTTTGAAATGTATAAAAGTCAGTTATTCTTTGATACTCTGAAGAAGCTGCAACAGATGAGTCTCAATCACTTGCTGAACTGAAATTAGAAAAAAGACAAACCATTAGCATTGCTTAAAGGACCACTATAGTGCCAGGAAAACAAACTCATTTTCCTGGCACTATAGTGGCCTGAGGGTGCCCCCACCCTCATGGCCCCCCACCCCCCGCCGGACTGAAGGGAAAGGAAGGGATTAAATCACTTACCTTTCTCCAGCGATGGGCTCCCGCTGGGGACTCTCCTCCTCCTTCGGTCATCATCGGCTGAATGCGCATGCGCGGCAAGAGCCGCGCGCGCATTCAGCCAGTCCATATGAAAGCATTCTCAATGCTTTCCTACGGACGCTGGCGTCTTCTCACAGTGAAAATCACAGTGAGAAGCGCGGAATTGCCTCTAGTGGAGGTCAGTGAGACAGGCACTAGAGGCTGGATTAACCCATATGTAAACATAGCAGTTTCTCTGAAACTGCTATGTTTACAGATGCAGGGTTATACCTAGATGGACCTGGCACCCAGACCACTTAATTAAGCTGAAGTGGTCTGGGTGCCTATAGTGTTCCTTTAAGCTAAGATGTTATACTGAATTATGCGCAGTTGTGTCACTGCTTAAAGGAAGACTATAGGGTCAGGAACACAAACATATATTTCTGATTCTATAGTGTTAAAACCACCATCTAGTTCCCCTGGTCTCCTCTTGCCTCCCTAAACATATAAAAATCTTACTTGTATTCAAGTCTGAAGCTGCTGGCTCTGCCCCTGTCTGCATCAGACCTGCAGGCTGTCTGCTGACATCATCAGAAGTGTTATTCTGAGCTAATCACAATGCTTCCCCATAGGATTGGCTGAGACTGGGAAGGAGGCAGATCAGGGGCAGAGCCAACACAAGTCAAACACTGCCCTGGACAATCAAAATCTCATCATAGAGATGAATTTAATCAATGAATCTCTATGAGGAAAGTTCAGTGTCTGCATGCAGAGGGTGGAGACACATATGCTGTGATGCACATTAGGCAAGACAGCTTAAGGAAGCAACTCTAGCAGCCATATGAGGAGTGGCCAGTGAAGTTATCACTAGGTTGTAATGTAAACACTGCATTTTCTCTGAAAAGACAGTGTTTACAGCAAAAAGCCTGAAGGGAATGATGCTACTCACCAGAACAAATTCAATAAGCTGTAGTGTCCCTTTAAAGGGACACTCTAGCATAACACAAACCAGTGAAATGTAGAACATCTTAGGAATCAAATTTACATACAAGTTATACACTTATCAGCCATTAAAACAACCTGCACAATATTGTATAGTAGCTCTTCTGTGTGATCAGACCAGATAGCCTGGCATTCGTTTCCCACATGCATCAATGAGCCTTGGGTGCTCATGACCCTGATGCCGGTTCACCAGTTGTCCTCCCTTACACCACTTTTGTTAGATACTAACCACCGCATAACAACCCACAAGACTTGCCGTTTTTGTCAAATTGTTGCTAAACAATATGACATAAAACAGGGGGAATGCAGTAGCCATATTTGTTTATTTTACTTATATAATCACTACACATATATAAAGGATTAAGTGAGATAATCAGCAAAATGTCAAACATGCTGTACTGATAACATTATATTCCACATAAAGCAAATAAAACACAAAACGCACAAAAAATGTACTAAAACAATATGAGGAACACAACTCACCACTTCTGTGGCCAAGAGCTACGGACAAGTCCATAGAATTGTATCCAGAGTCAGTCTCAATGGTTGGATCTGCACCATTTTCTGTTAAACATAACAAATAGTGATTAACAAGTGAATGCACTATACTATAATTTATAAGATTACATTTATAAGATGAACACAGATATATACATTTCCTAAATGTGTTTTTTCATCTCAAGAAAATATGCTATGCTCAGCACAGTGATCATGCAGACAGCTTCAATAGTGTTTAACAATCAAATAAAAAAAAACTAAATTCATAGGTTTGGCACAAAATCGGGCGCCAAGGAACACAGCAGCAGGGAGCGGCACACTATTCAAACAATGAATCAAGCCATCTAGCGGGCTTGAAAGCAGGAATATAATCCCTGCTACAGTACTGCTTAAACAGTCATTTTTAGTTGCAACATATAAAAGACAAAAAAAAGCAAATGACATCCACCTCATAAAAAAAGCAATCGCAGCAACCAATGGCTTACGTAGTCATTGTGTGATATCCAAGGAACCTAATACGAGGACTGCCAATAAAATTTACATTTTAACCACAATCAGAGCAGATTAATCTTTTATATGAAGTAATACATTAGCTTGCTTGCTTTTGTGTTTGAATTGAGTCTTCTTAATTTATCTCTGTTATGCAGGAATGCCAAACATACAGATCTTGTTTGCAAAGTAATTGTATGGTGCGAAGTGTGGGGACATTTCTAACACTTTACACTACTGGGTAAAATTGTAAGGGAGTTAGCTTCACTAAGTGAATGCCCAAAGCTGCTGGGAGGTCACCGTAACTAAGGATCTCCTCTATCAGACAGACTCACATATATTTATTTTTTCGTGTTTCATTCGGCCCCTGTTCACATGGTCAGGAGGTATAGCGAATACTCACATCTTGGCATAGAAGAAGACAACTGGATGTCTATTGATTTCTTAATTTTCACACTTTTTTCTTTTCTTATTTTTTGTCTGTGGACTAATACTATATTAATCTACTCAGTTCTCTTTTCCCCCATTTTTATTTCTTTTCTCTTTCCTGCATTTGGGATCTAAACTGTATTTTGCATCTTCTCTTTATATCTATATATTTTACAGGTTAATGGTTTAGCAGTTTACTAGGTTAAGAGTCACCATACACCAGACTAAACCTATTCTAAACATTTCCCACTGCAGACTGATAGAATCACTCCCATTTCCTAATCATAGCAGGCCCAACTCTATTAATGTTTTATAATGCTTATGGTATGGGAACATATGGATTAGTTAACAATTTATCATCCACCATTACTAATCTTTTATTAAAGATCTGTGCTTGCATCATTTTCAAACTCTGAATATCTAACCAAACGTTTCATTCTTTTGTTGACAGTTTTTGATAAAATCTTTGTCTTTTTTTATATATCTGTTTTTAATAAAAAAATTAAAAAAAAATAAAAGCAGAATTAAAACTTTGTTTTTTTTAAAAATAATAAAGGCAGCGCTTCCTAGTTGGCATAGGTTGAGCACTTTTAGCATCAGGGACTGGGTACCATACTTCTTTTGGCCTTCAGGCTCGCATTAAGCAAATTTATTATGTTTATTTTTCATGTGTTATATACATTCATTATTGGTGGGCATCAAAGGTATTATTTCACTATTTTTATGTATAATAGCATGTTCCTCATTTTATATTCTCACTAGCTACCCTAGCACATTCCTATTCTGTCATGCTTAGAATGGATGGAAAGTACTTCTGATCACTAGCTAGACATGCTAGACTTAGATCGTCCACTTTTGTACTATTTCTTTTACTTTAAAAATTGTGCAAATGTTATATATACCATACCAATGTTATAACATGTCAATAGTTGATTTGCATGCAGATGTTGTCGTGGCACTGCACGCTTCTATGCAGATGTTCACATCATTTAGGAGGTTAATGATTTTAGAGAAAAGTAGACGGTTTGATAAAAAGCAAAGGGATTGTACCCAAAGATTCCCTGAATCAATAACGCCTACAATACACTATATGTGTTGTGTATTAGAAAGTCCCTTAACTGCTAAGTGGTGCTCTACAGATAGGAACCAAATACCAGGTGTTCATGTTTCTTCATTCATTCTCACCTAGGAGGATTTTGACGCATTTCACATGGTTTCCATGAACGGCATAAAGAAGTGGTGTGCCTCCATTCTAAAAAACAACAACAAAATATTATAGCTCAGTATCCGCATTTTGCAAAGACAACAGAACAAGGAAACAACACACATATCAATGATAAAACCTCACTATATATAAAGATTTACCAGATGTGCTTTTCTGCCTATTTTGTGGAAAGTCGCATTGTACCCTTGCAGCGAATATATGATTTACCAAAAAGACTTTGAACCTGCCCCGAGATGAAGGAAATTCATAGGAACACATTGGGGTTTATAGAATTTATAATATTTAGACATGAATTAAAAAAAAAAAAAATAATAATAAAATCTCCACTTTGCTGTAGTAGTCTGGCTATTTTAGCATCAGCTTTGCAGTTTTGATTTTAATTTACTACAACTTGTTATTTGGAATAAACCTCACTGTACGATCTGAGTGTACTAGAGAATACTTCAAAATTAAATAGAACCCCATGTTTTCACATTGTATATCAATCAAAAAATGTAAATAAACATTCAAAATATTAAACCTTGCTAACACAACTCAAATATAGAACTTGTCTGTTCCACACTGTCTGCCAAGTATCCATCCTGCCCTATATTCACTTGTATCTAGCTCACTCTACTTATACTTTCCCTTTCCTGGTCCCTGACTCATGTTTATTTTTCTCTTTGTGTTACCAGTGCCATTTGCACCTCTCTTACTCTCAAGATAAAGAAGTTAAATATCAATGTGCTGGCTTAACAGGCATTTTCGTACCACAGATATTAAAACATTTATCATACCCAGTCATATTCATTGACATCCACACCGCACTCCACCAGCATTTTCACTATATCTGTATAGCCCTTGCTGCACGCCAAGGAGAGAGCACTTTCCCGACCCTTTCCAAGTACCTGGGGGTCTGCACCCTTAAAGAGAAACACACATTTGTATGTGTAAAAACAACATATAGTCTATGTCCACTTCCTCCATGGAACACAGTTATCACTGGAAGAGATGTCCAAGATTGAAGCAAGTGACTGGGTGCATTAAAATACCATGTTAACCACTGTACACAAATATACAGATATTACGGTCCATTGTACAAGGCTTTCAATCTGTGTAGAGTAAAGGTAATCTCAGTGAACCAGCCCCACCACGTTATGCAGTATGTGCCTTTGTCTTGCTTACATTTTGAAGGAGAAACTCTACGACGGCTATCTGTCCATGGGCTGCGGCCCACATGAGTGGAGTGAAACCTTCTTCATCAGTGAGGTTGATCACATTTTCTGTTTGAAATGCAAAGCATACACATGAAAACATTAATATAGTTTAAATAGGAACATGTATTTCTACCAAGAACATTTCCTCCTGGTTTCCTAGGTCCTATGACTCCCTCTTCTTTCGTACAAGACTTACCTTATCCCATATGTGAACCAATTATACAAGAAAAGCTTGATTCATTAAGGGGGCAGACTTACACTATGTAAAAAAAAAAAAAAACAGACATGAGCACATACAGTTGGTGACCATCTGGCCTGTCGAGAAGATATTCTCTTAGCCTCACTTCTGTATGAAAGGTTCTTATGATCTATAAGTATAACAACTGAATCCCTAGACCATTTCAGCTAATGTCTCCATTCCTTCCAAGCTACAACTATAGCAAGGAGTTCTCTGTTGCATATATCGTAGTTTTGTTCCACCTTGGTAAATGTCTTAAAATGAAAACCACATGGATGCAAAGGTTTGTCAGAGGACTCACTTTGTCATGGAACAGCTCCCACTCCCACTACCGAGACATCAACCTGCAGTATAAACAGCAGGGATGGGTCAGGGTGCTTCAAGATGGGAGCTGAAGCAAAAGCGGTCTTGAGAAACTGAAAAGCATTAATAGTCTCTGGGGTCCATACAGTAGACTTAGCATCTTTTTCGCTTAACCTGGTAATGGGTGCAGTTATGGAGAAAAAGTCTCTGATCAATCTTCTATAACAATCACCAAAGCCAATAGGTTATTCAATGGCTCTCAAACCCTGTGGCAAAGCCCAATACTACAGAGAGTTTCTTAGGATCCATATGAAAACCATTAGCAGATATAAGGTATGCCAGATTGTTGTAGTCTTAGTCTGATCGAACAGGCACTTCTTGAGCTTACAGTAAAGACCATTCTCAAAAAGACAGTGTCTGATCAAGTCCTTTGATCCCGTGTATTCACCACACCACCTTTTACTTCAATGCATTTCGCCCATATAACCGAGCTGAGTCCGATGCACCTGAGAGAACTGATCCACACAGTGATCTTGCTCTTGTAACCTTGCCTCGTAAAAAGCCACCTGTTGTCCTAAACCTGCAGGATCCATGGCCCTATTATAATCTCATGGGGAAATACCCTAAGATCCAACAGGTGAGTTACATAGGTGCCAAAAGTTACATATTTAGTGAAAAACTGCAGTTTAGAGCACCTCTCTAGCGGATTATTCGTCCAAAACAAGAGCATGTTTAATCATTTTTGCAGTGTGTGGATATTCCCATGTGCGTTCCAGATGACCCTCTGTAAATGGAAGTGAATATTTGCATCATTTTCTGCCTCATATTTAAGACATGTATGAGGACACTGACTAATTTTGCTACTTCCAAAAAATAAAAATAAATATATATATATATATATATATATATATATATTTTTTTTTTTTTTTACCTTGTTCCAGACGACTTGCTAAGTAAACCATTTCCCCTTGGGCTGCCAGCTGATGGACTGAAAGTGCTGAAAGATAAATACAGAAATGTACTCAGTAAAACCTCAGATGTAAAATAGAACAATGATATGTGGAAATTAAGTCATTTTATTGCATTCTCTTTGTAAACACAATTTCTAAACTCATGTTACCGCTCTCACCAATGTCTGAGGAAAGTGTTTGTTTGTTTTAATTTTGTCTATTGACAATTTAAAATCTATTTATATTTTATCAGATGCTGATGGGACATTCTCCTCTTTTGGGGTATTGACAATAATTTTATTTTAACATATTTCTTGCTACCATAAGAGATATTTCTAACACTGAACCAAAGGCAGTACCTTGTCAACAATCCCCCTGAAGAGCAAAAGTGGATGCTGCTCTGTGTTTTCAACAAAAAATGTGATTTGTACCCTCTTAAAACTCTACATCATACAATATAAATCATGTTGATACCACTGGCTGCTGCTTTATGTAAGGTTAGCTAGTTAACCCATCTGCAGAGCTAAAGATTTATTTCCAGGACACAATAGTATGAAATGCTGTGTTATTAAAATCATTAATGTGCTGTTAAATCCTTGTATCAAATTACATCAGAAACAAAAAGCATTGTCAAGGCAACATAATTAGACAACAGAAAAGCTGTGAACAGATACCAGACTAGACAGATTACAATTATAGTTAAGCTATGGCAGAAACTGACATAATGCAACTAGATTTTATTAAGTCAATTAAAGCTATAAAATTCTACTTGCATGGTAGATGTCTAATAGTTTACAAACTTACCCCAGTCACACCAAGTTTTGAAGGAACACTTCAAGCACCATAACTACTACAAAGCTCTGTAGTGGTTATGGTCTCAGGAGTGCCCTGGTGCCTCCCACTGTAAGTAGTCAAATAGTTTTAGAACAGTCGCTACCCTTCCTACCTCGGCCGCAGAGCCAGAAGCTCTCTGTTGGAGCTCAGCTCAAGAGCACTAATGGAAGCAGGAACTTCTGGCTCTCTGGCTGAGGTATGGAGAAAAGGAGCAGTGTAAGATGGTAAGACGTCAAAACAATATAAAATGGTTTAACTACAACGGAGAGCACTAGGTTCCTGTAGTGGTTATGGTGTTTGGAGTGTTCCTTTAAAAATATTGTGGTCTTGTTTGAGGTTGACTGCTATGTATGGCATATTGACATACATAAGTAAGATGCTCAAGCATAATACACAAAAATATACAAAGAAAAGAAACAGAAGACCTATTTTTTTCAAGTGTTGATCTGCTTGATAAGTGTAGATAAAACTACAATTTGAATTAAATTAGTGCAATGTTATACGTATGGTACTACATTTTTGTTGACACAGTCTTCGCATTTAGGTGTCCATTTTGTCAAGGTTTATATGTAACTCTGGTCCTCAGTCTATGTCTAAGCAATACAAGGTACCATTCTTTGGAGGTGGTCGCGCTGTGCTGAGGAAAAGGGGGGATTCTAATGATGTTCCAGTTGGACTTCAGTTGTAACCTGAGCACTCACAACAAAAATCTACAAGGAGACATTATGGGTAAATGTATAGAAATACACAATGTAGAAAATAGCTGCAGGTGAAGCTGAAGTGACTTTTATTTATCAAATTGTGGAATTCTCTGTAAATATTGTAAAAGTAAAATTAAAAAACACGTTTGGTGCTTGTGTTTTATTCCAATAGGAACAGATGTCTATCCAAATATACAGATTTCTAGTTGATTAAATTTACATGTAGCTTTATTTGTTAATGATCATCCCAGCCTACTAATGAGTGTCTCACAATTTCCAAAGTAGAGAATAGACCTCACAATACAGAACATTTAAGGGGACTATATAGTGTTAGAAATACAAATCTGTATTCCGAACACTATAGAGTCCTCTGGTCCCCCCCAGAAGCTGAAGAATTAAAAATAAAACCTTTACTCATTGGACGGAGCACCACCAATGTATTACGCCCTCCCCATAGGACAGAACTGCCTCAATGATGTCCTATAGGGATTTAACGAACGCTGGATGTCCTCATGCTGAACGTCCAGCATCCGTAAGTAACCAGAAAGAGCCTCTAGTAGCTGTCTGATTTACAGCCATTAGAGGCAGTCTTAGTCCTGTTATGTAATTATTGCAGTTTCTCAAAGGACTAACTGGGACAGAAACACTGCTCCCAGACCACTTTAACGAAATGACGTGGTCTGGGCGCCTAAAGTGTTTCTTCTAGTGGAACCATACATGTTAAAACAATAACAGGCTGTTGAGTTACTGCAAAAACAGAGATGGAGGAGGGTGTATGATGATGGAACACAGCCTATGTTTCAGTCTGAAACATGGTATTGCAAGGAGAGGTTGTAACACTGGATACTGGAACATATAATATCTGCTGATACATATAACAATAATAATGAAGCTTAATAAGTGCTTACAGTTTACCAGTAGGGGTGTAGTGGATACCTCATTGCCTCTGTGTTTGTTTGTCAGAGTAGTTGATTGTTTGATTGGAGAAAAATGTTTGGTTGTGGACGGTGTGTAGACATGTCTGACTTGAATCCCAGGTGAAGGAGATGTGTGGATGTTGCATTCAGCTGGAGATATGAACAAAAAAAAAGTATTATTTATTACAATACAAGAAGACAACATGTTTTACACACAGGTATATACTTTAAATTCACAACAGCATATGTAAAGGTCATTTTTATCCAGTGGTTTGGATCAATCTGGTTCAAAGTAGCAAAAGCCAAAAGGCTCTTTAAAATCTACATGCTTGACACCTATTAAATGGTGACTCCAAGCACCCTGACCACTAAACTGCTTTGAAGTCGTCATAGTATCTGGAGGCTGTATGTGTGTTTCGCTATGATATGCTGTACAAAAAGAGTTTAACCCCTGCTGCCAGAGGCATAGGTCTGGCCTTGGCATTGGATCGAGGTGAGTTTTAACTCTCTTTCTTTGTTATATTATTATTTGGGGGTGGAGAGGGGCAGATCAGCACAGCAAGGGTTACTATTGCTAAAACCAATGTTTTATGAAAATCGCTCAACTTTTGCATGGGGATGGTTGAGAAATATAAATTAATTGAATGCTTCACTATGAAAAATGCAAAGGTATCCATTTTGGAGTTAGGTGTACATTTAACTTATATCCTGAATGATAATGAGAGAAAACATGAGAAAGGTGTACAAACAGTTATAGATGACAAACTATGCAACAATGTGTCAGTCGGCAGTTGAATAACCCATAAGAGACTGTCATGCATAGAAAGGTGTATTAAATTATGTAATGGAATGTGTCAGTCGCAGTTGAATAACCCGTAACAGACTGTTATGCATAAAAAGGTGTATTAAATTATGTAATGGAAATATGTAACTTTGCCTGTTTATAAATCAATGGTAAGACCTCGCCTTGAATATGCAAAGCAGTTTGGGGCACATTTTAAAGAATGATATTACAGAACTAAAAAAAAAGTGGAGGGGATAGTTACAAAATTAATTAGGAGAATTGAAGGTTTTAATTATAATATTATACAGCAGGCTGTAGTGGTTAGGGTAGTTGGAGTGTTCCTGTAATATGTAACTATGAATTATATGTAAATATATAATTAATCACAAGTTAAAAATTCAAAATGTGATGACAGTGAAACAAGTAAAGATTAACACGATCACCAACATTTGATTGGAACTATAGGTGAACACTAAAACTGGCGACCCCTCTTTAGAGTCCAGATGCAGGGTTTAAGAAGCACTGCTACAGAGTCGCAGGCTTAGTTTTGTATCTGGAATGTACATATTGACAAACCTGTGCAATCTGCATATGCAATGAAAGAGATTTTGATGAAAGTATAAACTGCTTTAAGTACCAAACATTTTATGGAATGTATATAAAGCACTGACCTTTAAATAGGACGGATGCTACTTCTAAATCAGAGTTCACTTGATCTTGAATATTTTTGCTATCTTCTTCATTCAAGGACTTAACAAATCGAGAGCAGACATTCATGTCAAATCGGTTGGGCAAGATGAATTTCATTCCCATTGCAACCCCCTGAGCTGTTCCTTCTTCAGGGTTTGCTTCCATCACATGTTCCACTTTGATATCAGGCATGCTGGATAAACAAAAACTGACACATTCTTCACCAGAGAGCTCCGAAGAGCTCTCAAGATTACCAAGGGACGACATGATATACTTGCATATATTTATTGCATTTTAATACTTCCTTTAATTCTGTACAGAACTTTCTCAAGCACCAACACGTTCTTGTGGGGAAGTTCTAAATGGAAAAAAAGAAGTATTGACTTTAATATGCGAAACAGGTGTAATGGTTTGGCTTTCACTGTCCTTTATGAATAATTTTGATGCAGATCACACAAATGTAATGTTAGCACATGTCAAGGAAGTCAAACAAAATACTTAATTTTCTAAAAATTCATAATCTCCATGAAGTTCTTACTGTACTGGATGCAATTTAGCGACCACATGTGCAGCTTGGTTGACTAAACAGTAAACAAGTCAGGGTGTATATAAACTAAAAGTATTAGCTGTATAGCTGCTTATCAGCCTGAAACAGTCCATGGTGACACTCACTCTGATGCATCCCATGAATCAGATGGCTAAGTAGTGGAGCCACCCCGCTCCTTTAAACGATTCTCGAAAGGATCATCCAGGGCATCAGCTTATGGCCTGTAATTGGCGTGATCCTAGAAAGTGCCTTGAGAAGGGCCTCAAGCTCACGCAGGATAAGATGCTAGATACACCGGAACCAATGGCTCAGATATTGTATTAGCAGACGATGCCATTACTTCGGGGACATCCCTGGATACACACTTAATCAGAGATTGGGTGCAGAGGGCATCCACCTGCTGGGAAATGCCAATTTGGCTATGTATTCTGAACAAAGCAGAACAACAAGAGTTGGGACCATCAGCACAGGTTATGCAGTTTTGGAAGCCTTTGTTGAAAGAATTAAACAGATACGTTAATGTTTTCTCCATACTTAATAAGGTACAGACAGCTTTACAAAAGGTTCCCCCCACATCATGGTCCTAGAGCACAAAAGCTTACTAGTTTCTACCAAGACAATACTGGACCTTCCCAGTTTCCCGCTCAGTAAAGCCGGGAGCGGCGGCATTCCCACATAGCAAGGGGAAGGCCGCCGAATACTTACATCCTGTCACGACACCTGCCGGGTCCGCTCCTGCAAGAGAGCAGACTGGGACCCGGTGGGTGCATCCCATTGCAGCGGCATTCAGATTACTTACCTCCTCCTGCGGCACCCACTGGCCTTACTCTGAGCACAGACTAGGAGCTGACAGGACAAGTCAAAATCTTTTAAGGTTCTTAGTTAACCCCTTAGTGCCTAACCACTGGGAACACGTCACACGCACGTTCCACTGTCACATGCTCCTCTACAATCAAGGAGAACCTTAGGCTATTTAAACCTTCTTTGTCCATTTCTCTGTGCCCTGTCGTGGTTTCCATTGTGGTTATCCGAGAATCTGTTTCTGGTATTTATTCTTGTGTATTTTGACCTATGCTTGCTTACTGACATTTATTCCTTGACCTTTGGCTTACCTGACCGTTTACATATACTCTGTATTCCTGACCTCAGCCTGTCTTGTACTTTTCTTTTTATATGTTAAAACAGGCTGTTCTAAGATCCGGTAATACGACTTGGGGTTTTATTTACGCTTTTACTTAAGTTCTGTGTGCTGAGCATATTAGTGTATACTGACAGGCTCTGACAGAGGTAGAGGTTCCCATAGACGAGGTTGAATCCTATTCTCCTCTGGTGAGTCCCCATGTGACAAAACGGTCTTCCCAGTGTTTTACCACAGACTGTCTTTTTATTTTCCACAGAAGGGGGAGCAGATTTCGTCAGACTCTTGGATTCTGCAGATTATCTGAGGGTAAATGATCAATTTCTACTATCCGTACTTTCAGCAAATAAGCTGATTGACAAGGAGATTGGGTCTCAAAGAGGCTAGCGACAGAGCTCTCCATCTCTGATTTCAGCAATATCTTCCACACTAGGAGCTTATTTAGTCAGGAGCACAGATGTGCCCACGCCTTTTCTTTGATGGTTTCTTTGGCAGTCATTATTTGGTCAGCGGATTTTAATAATCTTAATTTTAATAATGACAGGAGGCAAATTTTTTCCATCCCTTTCTGTGACCCCCTTTTTCCTCTGTTGCTGTTTTTCTTTTTTGCCATGTATTGCATTTTCATGATTATATTATGTGAGTGTTTTATTGGATTGTATTTACGAACTGTATTACATTTACTCTTGCCACTGTTATGCTATGATACTTTGTATATTTGATTAAATTTGTCTTTCACAGATTTTTCTTTTGTTTCAGTATGAATACTGGAGTTCGTAATTAGATTCTAACATCCAGGATCTGGCTGGAATAGTTTTTGGACTCTGCAGTTACCTGTTTGCCATTTACTTTCGCTACAAGGAAAGAGGAAATTATGTACTTTGCTCAACTCCTTATGCGTTTCTCTTTTTTTTTCTGATTGGTAGTTTCTGTATTTGATTGTTAAAGCTGCTGTTATCAATTCAGTAAAGAAAAACAATGCAAACTATTCGCCTCCTGTCATTATTAAAATTAAGATTATTTCTTAACGAAAAAAGCTAGAATAACCTAAAATCAAAACACAATGCAAAGAAAGAAAGAAAGAAAGAACTGTTACCGGTTAGCAGACTATTAGCTTGTGAATAAGAGCAATAACTGAGAACATTGCAAGGCTCAATGGGAAATTGAGGCTAAAATAGTCATTTAATAACTATAGCTGGACTGAAGAATTTGTCCAAATCACCCATTATTTTAATAGAAGCCCCTATTACTGACATGAAATAGCCCAATGCTGCTCACCCTCAGCTGTCTTCTATTGTTTTTGGCTTGTGGTGACGTCACTCCCGCTTGCGTCATCGCGCCGCGACACAACCCGGAAGCCACAGTTATTGGCGGGATGGCCAAGGCGGAATTTTACACTTCCACCTGTCGCTGCAGGTTCAGTTCACCCACCAGTACTGTCCGGGACACTGTTCGCCCAGTAATGACACGAAACCTCTTTCCCATAAGCGTGACGCAATTACGGCTGCGACGTGACCGGAAGTGCGTCGAGGGACAAGATGGCGGCTTGCATGGGAAGTTCTGGCAACGTGACTCCATGATCCCAGCGCGAGTCGGAAACCAGCGACGGGCAGAGCGCGGGCAGCGGCCAGGGGCCAGCGGGGTATGTGTTAATAATGTGTTATAACGTGTGTTTATTGATGGGAAGTGGCTGACAGCGTGGCCCCCACCCTGGGCTGGAGGGTAAGGAGGGGATTCTACTTGGTATCCATTTAAAGGGTGACTGCCTACTAATGGCTATATTATTATTATAGCCGCACTCCAAGGACTTTATAGAGATTTTCAAATAAAATTTAAACTTTTATTTAATCTATTTAAAAAGTCAACGTTTCAGCTCCCACATGGAGCTTTCATCAGGATGAAAAAGTCAACGTTTCAGCTCCCACATAGTGCTTTCCTCAGGATGAAAAAGTCAACGTTTCAGCTCCCACATGGAGCTTTCCTCAGGATGAAAAAGTCAACGTTTCAGCTCCCACATGGTGCTTTCATCAGGATGAAAAAGTCAACGTTTCAGCTCCCACATGGAGCTTTCATCAGGATGAAAAAGTCAACGTTTCAGCTCCCACATGGAGCTTTCATCAGGATGAAAAAGTCAACGTTTCAGCTCCCACATGGAGCTTTCATCAGGATGAAAAAGTCAACGTTTCAGCTCCCACATGGAGCTTTTGTCAGGATGAAAAGCTCCATGTGGGAGCTGAAATGTTGACTTTTTAAATGGATTGAATAAAAGTTTACAATTTATTTGAAAATCTCTATAAAGTCCTTGGAGTGCGGTCATTTCTGCTATGTCTACATGATCCTTGCCAGACCAGCACCGGGCACCACAGGATTACACCAGGAGTGCAAGCCCTCGCTATTTATATATAGATATAATCTGGTAATTTACGATCACCATGTAAAAAGATCACGCAGGGCTTTTTAAGACTTGTTTTTGAAGGTGTTGATGTTGCTAAACGTGTTCCTGTCTAGTGGAAATGTTACTTAAAAAAAAAAAAAAAAATTTATTTTAAAAATGCAACTAGTGGCCACTAATTTAAACTGAGTTCCACTACTGAAATTTTAACCATCGTGTGTGTATTAGCCGGTGCAGCTTGTAAAATGGAATTTTACTTCTTAAATTGTCTACATGCCTTCTCTGCTCGATTTTGTTCTCTCAACCAATGGAGCAAAGTAATGTCGCTGCCAGGAAGATGGAGCTCCATATAGCTGAAAATTGGGAATTAAGTGAAAGTAATCTAGCTGAAGTATTGGTGTGACAGATCAGTGTGGGCTACAAAACACACGTGACGGATGACCTGGATGGGTCCAAAATTGCTATAAAAAAAACTGGCAAAAATAAAAATATCACACTACTGCAGAGTGTATGTTTTAAATGTTGCTATAAAGGCTACTTTAGCATAACCTCTGATGATTAAACACAATCTACAAACCATAGATAGCACCCAGGATGGGACGAATAAAATAAATAGAGGTTTGGACACAACTTCTGAAGAATAATAAAGCAAAAAAGTCTACCCCTGCCGTAGTTATGGAATTCCGAAATATTGGTGAATGGAAAAAAACTGTACACTATTCCTTTCATGGAACTTGGTAATATTACATGATGGTTTGGCCATGTGTGACTTCTGCTAGCACTCATACCATCTATAACAGCTAATGTCAATAGTAGGATGTCCACAAGGTATATTGTAACATCTGTTCAGATCTTACACCCTACTGAACTGTGGAGGTAATAGCACTTTTTAACAACTCAGTAAAAATGCACCTATTACCTTTTGCATAACAGTACAGCCTGCTATCTGATGCACATGTAAAATGTCCCAAAGTCAAATTCATTCAGTATGCACAGGACAACTGAGGAAGATTGTGGAATCGATTAACTGGAAGCACAGTGGCCGTAAAGTTGTTTGTTATATTTTAGATCATTTCTGAACAATACAACGTTTTCAAAAGTCTGAGAATGTACGGAAAATATCTTCACTTTGTTGTTGTTGTAGCACCATTTTGTTCACTCACAAAGTAGAATATCCCTAATAGAAAAGTCAATTCCTTATCTTGTAGTCAGCTGGGTCACTTTCTCAAGATTGCGTGTGACCTATTCAGAAGCAAACCAAAAGTGGAGATGGCTGCAGTATATGCTGTATAGAGCATTACATGGGAATATACATTATTGCAGTCTTTGAATGGAAATTAATTGCAATGTCCTCCTACGCATCATGGCAAACTTGCTTTTGAGATATTTGACAATGAAAATAGTTGTAATTACCCAGCTCAGTAAAGTTGACTTGAGTTTAATATGAATACTAGCTGTTTTTTTTTCTGTAATCATCAAATCTCACTTTGGAGTAACTAAACAAAATTTATTTGCACATTAATATTGTAGCTACTTAACTTATTAATTCATATTTGCATTTTTGTTTGTGTACTTATTTCAGCTGAATTCATGGTCTTTTGAAGAATCAAATTTACCTACCTTGGGGCACATTTCGTAGCAAAGACAAAATGTCTAGCTACAAGCCTGTAGCTATCTCTTCTTTCCCCAAACTTGGTGAAAAGATAACGCAAGATACCCTGTACTGGAAGCGTTACAAGGTAACAGAACTATCTTTATTTTAATCATTTCTGAACGAAAAGTTTTAATTTTGTTTCATTTTTGTGGTTACGTTTGTATGTAGTTGCAGTATGTAAAAGGAAACAGAAACTGATAGTTTTGTATGTGCTAAACATGATGTAGGAGTCTATTTGCTGCAAATCCTGAGGTTTGCAAGGGGTGGATTGTAACAAGGATAGATATGTATCAAATGACCAAATGATTTCCCTCTCCGTAAAATCAGTACAATATCTCAAAGATAACGTGTCACTATGTAGTGCAGTGGTTGTCAACCTTTTTCTAACTACCGCCCACTAATGCATCTTTCTTGATGGAAAAATTTCCTTACCGCCCACCAGTTTTCGTGCAAGTGCAGAATATTTTTTAGAAAGGAGGGTGTTTTAAAAAAAAATATATAAATTACGTACATTTATCTTTATTTCTACTTAATGCATGTTTATAATGTTTTTAACTTTATAAAGTTTAATGAGAAAACAAAGTAAATTGAAATTACCTTTACTAGTGATTAATGAGATCGTTGAGGCTGATGCTGCAAGACTAAATATTTGATATCTGGTTCGATTTTCGTAAGGAACAAACGAAGGTCTCCTCTTTTGGTGATATTCAGACGACTTCTCTGTTTGCGCATAATATGATTTCTCATCTGTGCGTCAGCTCATCTCCTCTCCCTCCTCAATTCCCCTCTCCACCTTTTTTTTTTTTTCCCCCCCATTTTTTCCCTATTTTTTAACCTTCCTTATAGCAATGCTCAGTAAGAAGGCTGAGCTAGGTAGCCCACTTACTATAGCCCACTATAACAGACAGGCACACATAAATACAGACAGGCACACATAAGCACAGACAGGCTTTAACAGCGTGACCGGGCCCCCTGTTATTACAGCACACGCTGGGAGGAAGTGACTGCATGTCACTCCTCCCAGCTAACACACAGACCGCGCGGGAGGAAGACCAGGGAGTCAGAGTAGGAACCTGTATGCCTGTATGCGTGTGTATGTATGTGTGCCTGTCTGTATGTATGACAGGCACACACATACAGATGCGCGGGCAGGCGCGCACACGCACACAGACAGGCGCACAGACGTGCGCACACGCATACATAGACAAAACGCACAGACAGGCGCACATATATACAGACACACACACACACACACACAAAATATTGACTTTTTCCCTGGGGTCCAGTGGTGGCTCAGGTGGATGGGAGTCAAAGTTCCTACTCTAACCCCTGGTCTTCCTCCCGCGCAGTCTGTGTTAGCTGGGAGGAGTGACATGCAGTCACTTCCTCCCAGCGTGTGCTGTAATAACAGGGGGCCCGGTCACGCTGTTAAAGCGCCCAGCGCTGACCAGGCCCCCTTACAATCCACATCCATCGGGTGGCCCTGACAGCATGGGCAACCCGATGGACCCTTTGGATGGCGGCCCTGGCGGTTTGCTGCCGGGGCTGCAAATGGTGACGGCGGTACCTGGTCGCAGGGGTACCGCCGGCTCGCACCCACCCTCTCGCCCACCCAATCTCTGAAATTGAGGAAATCCTAGGTTGACGATCCATGATGTAGAGAGACGTTGCTATTACACTAAATTGTGTCCATGTATAACGTTTAATATACAGTGTAGTAGGGTATTAAAGAGCGAACAGTCCAATTTCTATGACTATCAGCGTCTTCTTATTTCTGGATGGTACTAAGGCAGCCCCAATTTGAAGTGTTCCGAGCCTAACCAGTCACTCACCTAAATATTATATGCATTTGTAGGTAGTTTGTGGAGCCAGGTTTAATCTATATTCTCAAATAATTATGAAAGACTTTCAATCTCTATTTTTGAAAGGATGCTCTGAGCTACATAAGTAACCACCGCAACAGTGCTTAAAATTAGAAGTCCAAAGGTAATAGCCAATCCTTAAAAGTTGCTTGTCAGTACAAGGCATAGTATGCTCACCAGGGAGGTAATTTCTACTCTATAGGACTAAATTTGCACTTGCCAGTGATGAGTGGAAGTTTTGGGCCCTGACTACAGTTTATTGTAGTCAGTGGGATATTTAGGATTTGTGCTGTCCTTGGCAGGACGGTGCTCAGGCACCCCCCTAAATAAAATTAAATTTTTCCTCACCACTTCCTGTCAAGGCCGCACTTTGACTGACAGACGCACACACTCTCATATACACTGACAAACCATGAGAGACACACACACACACACTCTCACTGATTTGACACACTGATAGACAGACATACACTTACTCGGAGAATACACTCAACTGACGGGAGCGCGCACATAAATTCACTGACACACACACATTATTAAAAAAATGTAAAATTTAAATCCACCTAGCCTCCCTACTTTTAGGATAGCTCGGTGGATATTTCACCTGGGGTCCAGTGATTATATGGTAAATAGAAAAATGTATCACCCGCAGAACTTCTGCAAAGCAATGCTCTCAGTCATTCTTTTTCATGTCAAAATCAGAATGGTTTTGCACCTCAAGCTGTTATGTGCCGTCACTTTTTGTTTCATATTATGTTAATGTGTCACTTTTGTACAACACTCCTGATTATGCTGGTGCTTTAACAATTGAGTAAACCAGTAGCATTATATCTTTACTTGCCAAGAAACAGATGACTAATGGCTTGTTATAAACACGAAGTCTGAAGTCTACAGTTTACAAATCCTGTCCCTTTAGGAGTTAATATATGGATGAAGATATATATATATTTACACTCTCCAGTGTAGCCCTAGGCAATATCCAGTTACACTGAGCACAAACACACACAAAGCACCCATATACATAAATGATCTATTTATATACAGCCATATGCAATCATTACAGCACCTCTAAAAGTGAATGAATAACAAGTGCATTTTACGTTACAACCCAAGCAAATAAAAATTCTCCCCACAGCAGTGAAAATATTAAACCCGGTGAATACATATTTATTTTTTAAAGAAAGGGTTAAATTGCAATTGTAAAATTTGCGGACACTTCCATGTGCTATGTATTTAATTAAAACTCCGTGCCTCCTATTTAGCACCTTGTACCACAGTGCACCCTGACTGCAAGAATTGGCAAGGTTCTATCGTGGACTCTAACTCCCAACATTCTTAGAATGTTTGCAGCCAGTGCGTGGTGAGAGTAGCAGTTCACAAAGGCTGCCTTTCACCTGTTCCAAGCAATGGCTGTTGCATTGTAACACGGATGAAGGGGAAGATTGGAATAAAAAAATAAAAAAAATCCTCTTACCTGATGAGATTGAGGATCCTGACAGACTGAAGTTACTAGATGTCGCCATCCCTGTGCTGGGACAGTAAAGTAAAGATCCCACTGCTGGGCAGGGAGGCGGGCGGCGAGGGAGCACTTTCCCCTGAGCGCGCTCAGCTCAGTCGCGCGCCGCAGAGTGATGCCGGGAGTCGGAATATGATGTCTGCGGGGGAGCCCAAAGGTGGCCAGTTCTTGGGCTCCCATAAAACGAGGCAAACAAGGTAGTTGCCTGGGAATTTGGGGGCAGCGTTTTTTGCCGCCCCCTGGAAATTGTCACCCGAGGCAAATGCCTTGTTTGCCTCGTGGTACACTTCCCTGATTGTAGTAGTTATAATCCTATGAATCTATTGGTACAGTATCCAAGAGTTGTCAGACCACAAGGTACTTCGTGCCTATTTTAGAATCTGTTGTGGATCAATCTGTAAAAAAGCTAGATACACGATGGATTTTAATGAAGTGTTCATTTTAAAGCATTTAGCTCTTTCTTACACATCACTTTTAATAGGTTTTTATCTATGGTATGTGGTAGAAGCATTTTTCTGTCCTTTAAGCAAGCATACTTTTTAAGATGTGGCTTTATTGGTTTCGATGATGTTTGCAATTTAAATATATTCTGATCTTTGTTGGCATCTGGAAGAAACGTTAAATGGAAAAAAGTAAATCAGCGGCCAAATACGAACATGTGCTTTTTATGCTTAAGATCCTCCTGGTATAGTTTCCCAAACTATGCCCTTTAGAGGCCAACATTTTTGGTTAGTTTTATTTTGTTTGTTCCATCCTGGATATTGACATTAATTTTTTTTTACTGCAAACTATTATTTAAATAGCCATGGGCTTTCCATCTATTTCTTTAATTCTGGCAAAGGTTATGTCTTACATGACTGGTTAATGATGTAAAGAGAGCAGTATAGTAGTAACACATAAAAATATATTTCTGGGCAACGCAAAACATTAGTTTACACTAGATGGCATTTCATTGCATGTACAAGTATTTCTGTTCTGTCGTGATGGTGTAACCGTAATTTATAGCTTATTTTATCAATAACTTTTTCATGTATTTTTATTCATTAGACACCCGTTCAGATTAAAGAATTTGGTGCCATCACAAAAATACACTTCTCGCCTATACAGCCATGTAACTTCGCGGTCACATCCTCTACAAGGGTAAGTGTAATTGTAAAGGTACTTCTCACATAATGGTAAACTTTTTTTTTTTTTTTGTACAAGTTTTGCTTTTAAACCCAATCTTTATAGTCCCATTTTTAAATGTAGGCTTTAGGCACCGTAAGTCCTCCATCTCAATGAAGTGGTTATAGTGTCTGAAGACCCCTGGCACCATCCATCCCTCCATTCAACGTTGGACAGTTTCAAATGTTTTCATGCTAAATGAGTCCCCAACAACCTGCCCCCTATGTGCTCCTTGAGTTAATTAGGAAACATTAGCCTGAACAGCAATTGGCCTATTACAGCCATTCATTGCAGGTATTAATCTCTACCCCACAACAAAAACAGAATAGGAGAACTCTGAGAATGAGCAAAAGCTCAGAGAAACCTCAGTAACTTGCCCTTCATTTAGTCCGCGCTTTCGGACGTGGAATCGGTTTGAAATGTAAATAACATAGGTTTGCTTTGTAATGGCACAATTGAGCTAAAATCTTTGAGACCTGAGCAGTACTAACTGAATGGAAAGATATAGAGGTTTCTGTGATTTTTTTTTATTTTTTATTTTTTATTTTTTTTTGGTTCCCAAAAATTTGTTTTAATTGCAATTGGTGTCTTAGCCATGCCTCCAGTGGGGCCTGGGATGTGGGCATACGGAGACCATCATTCAGTATTTTATTGCACGAAAATAGTATTGCAGTGAGTGGAATGGCAATAGCATAGGCACTATTAAATGATCTGAAATGGTTATAGTTTCTAGAGTGTCCCTTTATCTGCGCTCATTCATGTGAGCCAGTAAATTTACCTAGCCTCCCTGTTTGCTGTCTGTAGGATCAGTCCAAGATTTCAGATGTATACATGCATAGTTGCATTTCTTCTTTCGTTCTTTGGATTCTCTTTCTTGGTCTAATGTCCTGATGGCTAGTCAAGTAATAAAGTTGAATTTTTCTTCCTCCAGATTCATGTCTATGGCCAGTATTCTCAAGAACCTATAAAAACCTTCTCCCGCTTCAAAGATACCGCTTATGGTGGTACATATCGAGATGATGGGAAGCTGCTTGTCGCAGGCTGTGAAGATGGAGTTGTTCAGCTCTTTGACATCAATGGAAAAGCTGCTCTTAGACAATTTTACGGTCATAACAAGTAGGTATTATTGGTTTTAGTATGAAATGTCACAGAACGTATCTTCGGTAGACTGTTTTGCCGCAGTTTATCCTGCCAGTCGTCGAACCTCTTATAAACCTGTTGGTACCCACCAGGCTTCTGCAGAAGATGTCAATCATTCTTTGGTGGAGAGCATCATCTGATCGCTCTCAGCTAATGAATAAAACTCTGTGCATGGAATATGCACAGAATTTACATTCCAAACTGATTATACTGCTGCAGGTCGAGTTACACCTCAAGCAGCAAAATAAAATATCTGTGTGTAGAGTTTCTGAAATGCTGCACATACAGACTCCAGTGTTTTGAAGTCATTATGGTGCTTGAAACAACACTTTAAAAATATATATATAATTTATTTCGATAATTACATCTTGGCAGACATTCCCACAGAATTATCCTTCCCAGAAGAGAACACTGGCAATGACTAACCATACCCAAATTTCACGTGCTGCCCAGCCAGCCTTAACACTTCTGGGTGATATTATGTTCGATGTTTAAGAATCACTAAGAATACCTATTGGTGCAGAGTTCATATTTACTGAGCTGTCAGAAGCAGGTAGATTACTTTTATATGGATTAGAGAGATTAACTTCATTGTTGTTTTTTTATTTCTTTAGTTACTGGCAATATGTTTCTTAACATTCTTATTAACCGGCAGTACAGTTGAATTTTAGGATCCCATTAACTTGTGTACAAGATTCAACTTCGCTTAGTGTATCGATGTGCAGTGAATGGTGTACACTATGGTATTGGGTAACTGGAATAAAAAGGCTTTATTAACTAAACACTGAATTGTAGTGAATTGAAAACAATTTGGGGAAAAACCAAAAAAAAGTTTTTTGTTTATATTTATATATATCTCTATCCTCTGTTTCTTGTTCTCATATTTAGGACTGAAATTGAAACTTCACTCTGAATGCTTCATCATTATTTTATTGAATAACCCTGTTATTGTCCATTGTACCTTCATTAGACCAATTGGTTTAAAATAAACTTCTTTACTGGAAAAGACCGCATGAATTATGTAAACCAGGTTTAAAAACTATACAAAATACTTACCTGATGCCTAAAAGTACAAATAATTAAAGGAGTTCTGTGTAACAATGCTGCTTTGTGCGTTTGCTTTCAGATCAGTACATTTTGTGGACTTCACATCTGATAAGTATCGGATACTGTCCGGTTCTGATGATTATTCTTCCAAGATTTGGGACATTCCAAATGGAGCTCAGATTGTAAACTACAAGGAGCATACAGATTATGTGCGATGCGGCTGTACCAGCAAACTGAATGAAGATCTATTTGTAACCGGTATATTTTATTTTTTTAATTTTAAAAAATAATCTGTTTGAATGTTAGTTAGCAGCTACATTGCCCACATGCAGACTTAATAGCTAAACAAATATTTATCACTGCAGTTAATGGTTAAACCTTTCACTGCTTGATGGGGACGTGGCCTTAATGCTAATGCGAATCTGGGCTTACTGGTCTCACCGCCGAATAGAAACTTAAGATGACCCACTAAAACCTGGGATATTGCCATATGTCCCCAGACTTATTCCTGTGTCTGTCCCTTACTAACTCATTGCCTTTCTTCCAGAGGGCTTTGGATAGTGAAAGGTTTGACTGTTCCACGTGTGCTGCAGTTAAATTCGTGATCTTTTCTTTGTACTTTTACAGGGTCATATGATCATACTATCAAAGTGTTTGATACGCGAACGGAAAAGAGTGTGTTGACAATGGATCATGAGCAGCCAGTAGAAAGTGTGCTTCTTTTTCCTTCTGGGGGCCTTCTTGTTTCAGCTGGTGAGTAATTGTTCCAGTTTGTGTATAAAAATAATAGAATGTACATGCGCACTGGAATCCAGGTGGTCAGAGATTCAATCTTTTAAGCAGTGTTGTACGACTTTACAAACTCAAACTGTAATAATCTGACCTGTGACTCATAAAGGTTTCTAAACTGCTATGTTTACATTGAGGGTTAACCCCGCCTCTAGTGGCTGTCTCCCGATTCTCAATGCGAAAATCGCATTGAACTCACACTGAACATTTAAAGGCACGCACGGCTCTGGCCATGCATTTGGAACAGGGGGAGGAGAGGTCACCGGTGCTGAAGAAAGGTAAGTGGCTAAAGACGTTTTATCCTCTTCAGCCCAGTGGGAGGATGCCCTGAGGGAAGGGGGGGGACCTAATAACCCTATAGTGCTAGGAAAACGAGTTTGTTTTCCTAGCACTATAGTGGTCCTTTAACCCCTTAAGGACACATGACATGTGTGACATGTCAGGATTCCCTTTTATTTCAGAAGTTTGGTCCTTAAGGGGTTAATGATCCATTCTTTAACTGTTTAATTAAACTTAATTCAGGAAAACCCTTGTATTTGACTGTAGTGTCAGAGGAATCTCTGATTTAGGAACACAATTCTGCTATAGTAAACCATTTTTGGCTGTTGCCAAGGGTCTGTCTAATGTAGGTCTGTTGCAACCAGTTGGACTGCTTGTAATATTTTGTCAGATCTTGAGTCAGACTTCCAAAGCCACAGTATTCCTCTTTGTCAGTCATTTTAGTGTTCGGTCACCTGCAAACATTTTTGGCTTCTTTATGCGTGGTCTTCAAAGAGTTCTATGTATTCGTCTTTGTGCGGATAAGGCCACATCCAAGAACATCACTTCCAACTTGGTATTGATCTACTGTTTAGTAATACGGTTATTCCTCTGTGGCAGTACTGACTGACCACTTGCCCATGGCATTATGTGTAGATATGGCAGCACCTAGTCTGCATGTTAATAATATCCAGTGCTATGCATGTGATAGAAATGTAACCATATACTCTGTCTTTCTGTAGTCTCTCATTCCACCATAGATCTCACTTTTCCAAACGTTCCTGAAATATAATGCATTTGTTCTACTTTGGGGTACGTGATTAATATTAATACGTGAAATGCCATTTCATTAAAGATGAACCTTTTTTCCACACAATATATTTGTATTTTTCTGGCATGTAGCGCAGTACAGGTGAGATGATCTACCTTCAGGTGGACAAGTAACCTCTACATAAAAATGCCAATTATTTTGGCAATACCACTCCCCATCATGTCTTAAATAACTGCTCTGAAACAATGTCCCCAGTTTTGGGGTAGACGGATCCTTTGTGTTTTGCTGAAGTCATTTGTTAACAGATGTTAATATCTCTGTTATTCTTCCCTTTCAGGTGGACGATATGTCAAAGTCTGGGACATGCTGAAAGGTGGCCAATTACTCGTGTCATTAAGAAATCATCACAAAACCGTCACTTCGTTGTGTCTAAGCAGCTCTGGTCAGAGGCTGTTGTCTGGCTCCCTCGATCGGTACGCACTACGCTTTCATTTCTTTCCTTCTGCACTTTGAGATATTGTACTCGCAAGAGAACGTAGATCACTCCTCCCCCCCCACCCCCCCCAATAGACCTATTAGTTTTTTTTACCCACTTGACATATCCAGAATGAGCTTGCTCGAGTATGTCTTCACTTTCACCACATATTCTAGAAATAATATACTGTTTTTGTTGTGCCTGAAATTCTAGTTCATACTGGCATCAAATTTCCTTTTAATGTATGTTACCTTTGTAATGAGACTTTACTGTAACTTTTATACATTGTTTGTTTAAACACAGTAAGATAATTGCTGGTGGTTTACCACCTGTAAGTAAGTGAGGACCATACAGATGAATAGTTCTAGAGTTCTGCTTGGTAACTTGTAGTAATGTGAGCAGCAATGGGGTTGCAGATCCTGTGTGTCTGTGCACTATTTCTCTGCACATTTTATTGTGTTATTGCATGCCATTTTAACTGTGAGTTAAAGTAGGAACTGTTGTGTTTTTATAACAGGCACGTGAAGATCTACAGCACAATGAACTATAAAGTAGTTCACAGTTTTGACTACGCAGCCTCCATTCTAAGCCTTGCGTTGGCGGTAAGTGTCAAAGTGGATTTGAATTTTTGATTTCTATTTTTTTTTTTTTTTCTTCTTCTCATATTTTTGGCATTTATTTCTACTATACAAGAATGAACTTGCATTATTGATCAAGAATATTCAGGGAGCAACTAATAAATTATAAATTCTTATTATAAATGATCAGTAAATCCTTTCCCCTACACTTTTTATTTATTTATTTATTTTTTTTTAAATCTTATTCATTTTTATTTTTTAAAATAACTCTAGCCGGACGATGAAATGATTGTGGTTGGAATGACCAATGGGGTGTTAAACATTAAACACCGGAAACCTGCAGAGAAAATTACCTCTCAAACTACCAAAAAGAGGCACCCACGCTACAGGATGTTTGTCCGAGGCAAAGACTACATGCCCAAACAGGTACTGTAATAGCAAATTAAACCCTGTTCACGGGATTGTGGGGCAGCTCGTAACTTTTGGTAAATCACCCTGACCCTTTTCTGCTTGAATTGGAGAATTGTCATTTGGTCATGCTGTAATGTCACTGTCCATTCAGAGATTTGTAGTATTTTTATAATGCAAGTTGTTAAATCCGCTCTTCCAACATTCTCTTAATATTAACATCATACACCGCTCTCACAAAAATAATTTGTTGAAATTGTTTAATAGAATGTTTTTGTTTTGTTTTTTGTTTTGTTATTGTTGTGTTTATTTTATTTTCTTTTTAGGACGACATTTTTATCAGTAAACCTGTAAGGGAACACTTAAAGAAATACGACAAATTGCTTAAAGGTTTTGAAGTGTCAAAGGCCCTCGATGCAGTTTTGGAGGTAAGCATGTGTGTGTCTTTTGTCTTTATAGTGACTGTCTATACACTGTTACGTTAAATCATTAGCACCATTGAAGTTGGTAACATACAAAATTGCAACTGATGTTAATTGCAAGATGGGGATTGCAAAGTTTTTAGGAGGCAATGCTGCCATTCTATCGCAATTCATTGTGTTTCTCTGTTATTGATTGTGTCATATTTCCCATGACTAGACACAGATCGGAAGATAATGATTTGAAGAGGCAGAGAACCAATAATCACATAGTTAATGCGTTGGAATGGTACAATGCAACCAAGTAGAAGAGGAATGATGTGTGCAGGCACAGACCAGGGGGGAATTAAAAATGGGAAAAATGTAAGAGGGAGCCATGTTAGAGAGGATTCTGTAAGTCAGAATAAGACGTTTTAAACTTGAAGAAATGGGAGGGTGGAGTATGACATTACAAAGTGGATGAGCAGAAGAACAGTGTTTTGCCTGTATTATGTTAATCTATCGAAGCTTGCAATTTGATTAGTTTGGCCTGAAATTTTGAAATTCACTTTGAATGCTCACTTTGGTAAATTAATTGTACTTTTTAAAATATTTGTGTAAAACCGGTATCGTGCCCTCACTTTTCCTGATTTACCAAAATACATAAAGAGAAGTAGTTCATGAAGTAACCTACAAACTGCTCAATGTTTGTTTCTTTTTTTTCTCTTCTCAAACGATAATCTTCTAAAGTTGTATTTTTAATGTTAGTTTATATCGCGAGAGAAATAAAGTGTAATCTCTGGTTTTTACTTGCTACCTGGCTTTCCATTCTTACTAGAATTATTGAGAGAGTAATTAGAAATCTAATTCTTTTCATGCTACAATGCAGAAAATCTGTAAAATGTCTTTTGCAGAAGGCCATGTGACTTTACCTACTAGAACATGTTTTGTGGAATTGGTAGGGTATGGCTGAAAATGGTAGGAAAATACCTGACTTCACATGCTTCCCCTCCTTCAGACCACTGATTTAGTGAAAGAACACGGTCTGTTAGCCAAGGCTGTATGAGTACTTCTAGTATCAGCTGTGTATCTGCACTTTGCAGGATTCCTTCTAATAAGATTCCGTCCTCCCTTCATCTTTCTTAGGCTCCACTTCGAATCCAGAGGCCTGAAGTGACCGTAGCGGTTATGAATGAACTGAAGCGAAGAAGAACACTTAAAAATGCTCTAGCTGGACGGGATGAAAAACAACTCAACCTTCTTCTCACCTTCCTTCTGAAGTAAGACCGAGATGTTACTCCTGATTTCAAATCTCACTTTTAATCAATAATGATGGTTTGATTGCTACTAAAGATGTGGTTTTTCTTTTGTTTTGTTTTTTCTCAAACTATTCTTATGTAGTTAAATTAACTTTACTTTCAGTGGTTTTGTGTAGTAATGTTTAAGATTGACACGAGATGTAGTAAACTGGCAACTCTTAATTTTTCCTCTGAACAGAAATCTGGTAGAACCAAGATTTGGTCCAATCTTAGTCCATGTGGCAGACCAAGTTATAGGTAAGTGTATGCTTTCAATGACAATCTTAAAAGGAAGGGGTGGGTGGGGGGATGCTGTGTGATTTGTGTGTTTTCTCATTATTTGAATCCAAAAAGAGAAGGAAAGAAAAACAAACCAAAGGCAATGGGTTATGTGAGCAGCACACTGTGACTGGCAATGCAAAACAGAGCCAGACATGCAACCACCCATTTAAAAATGTCCTTGACATTACTATATACCCACTCACTAGGAGAGAAATACATTTCTCATCTGGTACACTGATTAGTAGTGTGTAAATGTTTTTGAAGTTCCAGTAGAGCTTTGATCAAACACAATAAATACGTGTGACCATGGCGACTTTAGTAATTTATATCTTTTTCTGCATAGTGATGCCTCTTGGATAAGAAAATCTATGGGGTGGCCAGACTCATAACACTGCAGTGCGTTGTAGTTGTTATGGTGCCAGGAGTGCCTCAGTTCTTTCCAAGTGTACATAGTCAAACTATTTAAGAAGCGTTAAGCAAATCACCTAGGGTCCAATCGCCACCTGTCTCCGTCTCCCATGATCCAGTGTCAGCTGAGTGCTCGTTAATGATGAGGCTTGGCGGCAGACCTTCCAAATGCAAAGCAGGCAGTTCTCCAATGGCTTGTTTACTCTGGGAGGGCATTAGAGGGCTTGGTTTTTGTTTTGTTTTTTACATATTTTTTAAAAAATTAGTTTTATTTTTTTATTTTTCCTTTCTGCAAACACAAATATTCTAAAGATTTTTATTATTTTTTTTACTTGCAGATATCTATGGACCAATTTTTGGAAAGTCTCCGTTAATTGATAAGCAGTTTCTAAAGCTCCAAGAACTACTCGACAAAGAAATCAATTACCAAGAAGAGCTGCTAGAAGTTTTAGGCATGATGGACACTCTCTTTGCAACAATGACTATGAAAAAGGAAACGTCCCTTGCAGTAGACAAATCAGTTGATGTTCTAAAGCCTGTGCAGAGCAGCCAACCTGCCCCCATGCAAACTGTCTGACCTGAGACTTCTAGAAAATGACTTTAACACATGTTTTTGTACCACTTTTTAACAGTTACCTGGTGAAAACATTCAGCCTATGCAAATATCTTATCCCCCAAGTCAGCAGAATTTTCTTTTCAGTTAGAAAAGGAAGGCAAAGACTCTTATTTGTACAATTTTAAAGACTGTTCTTGTTTGCTCGGGGTACACAATATGTTTTTACATAAAGTATTGTTTTCTGAACTGTCAAAAATCTGATCTTTTTAAAGACCTCATTACGGGTAACAGTTACCTGTTCCATGGTATAAATTAAAAAAATTTATTAAACTCCTGACAATAATTTTTTAAACTTAAAGGACCACTATAGGCACCCAGATCGCTTCAGCTCAATGAGGTGGTCTGGGTTCCAGATCCCCCTAGTTTGAACTCTGCAGCTGAAAACATAGCAGTTTCAGTTTACACAGAAGGGTTAATCCAGCCTTTAGTGCCTGTCTCCCTGATAGCCACTAGAGGCTGCTTCCGTGATTTACACTGAGTAAATAGCACTTATTTGATGCTGGATGTCCTCATGGAGTCCAGCGTCAAATAAGATCCCCATAGGAAAGCATTGAGTAATGGTTTCTTATGGGCGGGTTTGAATGCCTGTGCGCCTCTGGCTGTGCATGAACATTCGGCTCTACTCGGGAACTGACGGCAGCGGGGGAGGAGAGGTCACCAGCGGTGAATTAAGGTAAGTGGCTGGAGGGATTTTAACGGGTTTGTTTTCCTGGCACTATAGGATCCCTTTTAATTGTAAATTAGATGAGTTCTATCATATTAAGTTTAAATAAAGATTGAGTGAGGATCAGCGGTAAGAGCAGAGTTAGAAATACTTGATTTGTTGTAAAAATTGAGAATCCTTTTATTAAAGTATTAATAGTTTGCTAAATTAAGTAACTGAGACGACATGTCATAATTGTCAATGTGTGAAGTCTAATGCAAGTTAAATATTTTTGCACTCCAGCATCTATCTTGGTATATTAAAAGTAGAGCAAAGGGAACAGTTTGTGGTATAAAAGGCAGCTTGTGTAGCGTAGTGATATTCAGTGGTTTAAAAAAAAAGAAAAAAAAAGTTTGCTATGTAATTTTTATAATGCCATCTACAAACACATTTGGTTATTTCACCCATGTTTGCATATTTTTTTTAGCCATTTGGTTAGATGTGAAAATCACCTGAATATAAATATATATGTGAATATCTCATTCGATTATACACGACCAAATAGCACAAAATTCTGTCTAATCCAATTGCATAGGTACAGATCAAGGGCACTAGAAACATAGAATGTGACAGCAGATAAGAACTATTCGGCCCATCTAGTCTGCCCAATTTTCTAAATACTTTTAATTAGTCCCTGGCCTTATCTTAAGTCTAGGATAGCCTTATGCCTATCCCACGTATTCTTAAACACCCTCACTGTGTTAACCTCTACCACTTCAGCTGGAAGGCTATTCCATGCATCCACTACCCTCTCAGTAAAGTAATACTTTCTCATTTTATGTATCAAAAAAATGTTTTATTCCCTTGCCCCCCGCCCCTTTTTTTTTATACTGACTGTGCTATTTTCTCTTCTCTGTGTGATTTGGATGCTCTTATATCTTGCTTAGCCTCTTTCTGCCTAATCTTATAGAACTGTCTGTCTTCCTCACTTTGTTTTTTTTTTTATAATTACTAAATGCTAACTTTTAGTTTTTTTACTATTTTGGCCATATCTGCGGAGTACCACAGTGGTTTCTTGAAGTTTTTGATTTTTCTGACAAGTCTAATGCAATTTTCTGTTGCCTTCAATAGTGCAACTTTTAAATAATCCCATTTCTCTTGGACTCCATTTAAATTGCTCCAATTTGATAATGACTCCTTTACACATTCTAATTTTAGAAAAGTCTGGTTGTCTAAAGTCTAAAAAAAAAAAAAAAATTTTGTATGGTGTGACTCAGTCACTGTTCTTATATTAAACCACACTGACTGGTGATCACTGGATCCTAAACTTTCACCTACAGTAATATCTGATACCAAATCTCCATTTGTTAACACTAAATCTAGTATGGCTCAACAACGACTTGTTTTAGAGACAATCCCAGTAGGGAGTTTAGAATATGTGTGCTCCTGGCACAAGCAGCTATTTTGGAGTTCCTGTTCACATCAAAATCATTAAACTATGCCCTACCATCCAGACTCAAACCCCGCTTTTTACTTTTTTGTGTGTGCATGTACAGCTGCTGTTCATGTGGTTTTATTGCTGTTGTAAAAATTGAACCAAGCACCATCTGTTGTTGTTTGTATTGTTTTTACATAGCTCCTTTTATCTCAACTGAATACTTACTTAATCTTAAAGGACCACTATAGTGCCAGGAAAACATACTCGTTTTCCTGGCACTATAGTGCCCTGAGGGTGCCACCCTCAGGGTCCCACTCCCGCCCGGCTCGGGAAAGGTGTAAAAACCTACCTTTTTCCAGCGCTGGGCGGAGAGCTCTCCTCCTCCGATCCTCCTCTTCTCCTCCCCGTCGGCTGAATGCGCACGCGCGGCAAGAGCTGCGCGCGTATTCAGCCGGTCACACAGGAAAGCATTTATAATGCTTTCTTATGGACGCTGGCGTGCTCTCACTGATTTTCACGGTGAGAAGCACACAAGCGCCTCTAGTGGCTGTCAATGAGACTGCTATGTTTATGGAAAAAATGGGTTAACCCTAGCTGGACCTGGCACCCAGACCACTTCATTAAGCTGAAGTGGTCTGGGTGCCTAGAGTGGTCCTTTAAGTCTCACTTTAAAAAAGGGACTACACTCCTTGACATTTATGGGCTAAAACAGTGAAAGTTTTCTTTGAATAAGTATCAGACTTCTGAACAAAACATAAGCCTCAAAGAGAGGATAAAAAGAGGAAAGGAGAAAAGAAAAAAATAAGGGGGGAAAAGAAAGGAGTTAACCTTCTAGAGTAAAAAAAAAAAGTATAAGGAAAGGAGGGAAGGATAAAGAAAAAAAGATGTCAACTAGAAGAAATGAAGATTCAAAGTTCTCTTCCAGTAAAGACAGAGGGATAAGGGAGAGAAAAAGGAAATTAAAGAGAGATTATCTAATTTTTTTCTTATTTCAAACTGAAAAATCAATATCAGAAGTATCCTTAAAAGAAGTTAGTCCTAATAGCAAGGAGAGAGATCTAACTCAGCTGGAGACTGTAAAAGCGATGGATAACCCCAGACTTCCTCAAAAGCTGTTTTGAGCAACAATTACTTGCTATAAAACAAGAGATAATGAATAATAATTCTGAATTAAAAAAGGAGATAAAAGAAATTGGACAGAAGATCAGACTGGTTGAAGATAAATTGGAACATACAGAATGTTTGATCATAGAACAGCAAGAAAAACAGGGGAAACTTCAACAGAAAATACAAGAATTAGAGTCAAAGATCATAAATATGGAAGATCGCTCCAGGCGAAAGAATCTGAGGATAAGAAACATATCAGAAGACATAAGTCAAGAAAAATTGGAAGATTTCATAAAAATCGTACTTTGTGGAATTAGGAATCCGGATGGATGAGAAATACAAATTCCTGGAAAGACATCACAGAAACCAAGCAATTTGTCAAAGGAAATCCCAAGAGATGTAATGGTGTGTTGTAACTCCTATATTTTTAAGGAGGAAATCATAAAAGCGTCAAGGCAAAACCGTGAGAAAGAAGAATTTAAAGACATCAAGGTGTTCCCAGACCTATCATATCAAACAAGGAAAAAAAGACGTTCCTATGCTCCAGTGACTGAGTGAGACACTAAGGAAAAATGTCAAATACTACTGGGGATTCCCTTCGAGACTTATAGTGTTTCATGAAGCAAAAACTGTATTCTTCGATAATGTAACCTCCGCTAATCTCTTGCTTCAAGAGTGGGCTTTAAAATGAGACGAGAGAAAAATGTAATGGGCGCAGATTAATTACTCGATTATAATATTGAATATGTTGATATAGTGGGTAAAAGTTAAGGTAAAGGGAGAGAGAGAGAGGTTAAATGGATGATTGATGGTAAATGATTGATTAATCGACTAACTGGAAACGTCTAATTTTTAAAGGGGGGAAAGTAGAGAGAATGGGAGGAAAATTGATGAGAACACTATACGTTTAATTTTGATAATAAATCGAGAATGGAATAGATAATAGATATAAAAAGGGATTTAGAAGGAATAAAGAAATTAAATGCACTTAGATACCTAAGGTTTTTGGAAACATGAGGGATTTTTTAGAAATTGATTTTTATAGAACTCATTTCCAAAGTCTTTTGGTGATCTTGCTTTTTTTTTTTTTTTCTTTCTCACAAAAGGTTGGTCTAACTACTTTAGTAGAATTAGAAAATATCATAAGAAAACACTTATAAATATTTGAGAAATGGGGGGTGGGGGAGAGGGGAGGAAATCTAACACTATATAAATAGAAAGGAAAGGTAATATGTAACACTTCTTAGAAAATAATATCCTTTGAAGTAAAGGAAATAATAGTTAACTCTTAGATAATATAATAAGTTTAATAAATTTGCACAATATTCAACTGTTAAAGAAGGATGAGAAAGGGGTGATTCTTTTTTTTTCACAATAAGTGTGATCAACTTGCGAAATAATAATTTGTTTGACACTAAATTAAGGAATTACATATATACATAAAGGGGAATCAGAGTTGGTGTAAAGGGGGAAGAAAATAGTCACAATAAAAGCTATATTTAATAAAAATAATACACAGCACTTATTATAAAATAGTTCGTTATGAAGTTAAGAAAAGAATCCCAGCATTCAAATAGATAAGTTAATAAAGCTGCACATTATATAATGTAGAAAGAACTTTTCTCTTCTCTCTCCCCTTTTATTTCCCTACTCGTTACATTGTGATATCCTCTTCTGAACTATGTTATACTGCATCTCGCTGGTCTGAGGTGAGGCTTAATCCCCATATAACTCCAATATCAGATGGAGTTTGGATGCCACACCAACAAAGGG